TTTACGAAGAAGACATTTTAAATATGCAGATTTTCATCATCAAAAAGTTCTTTCAATTGTAATGAAACATTGATGAGCCTACCTTGTAGAAACAATGGAGTTTGAGCAACATTTCCGGTGACAACTTTCCTTCACCACGGCACAGACGCTCATAGGCTTGACGTTCAATCTGCCATTTCTCTACCTCACCCATACTCTCTGATATAGTATATTCCTGAAAAAAAAAAAAAAAAAAAAAATCAGTATGTAGTATATAACTACCAATATAAGAGCATGAAATGCAATACATGTGTGCATACATATATGAATATCTATCTATATATCTATCTATCTCTACATATTTTTAACACCACAATTAGGATTGTAGAATAGGTATTTCACATTAATCAATTCTTTACATAAAATACCTTCTCAACAGCAGTAGCATCCTCGTCCATAAAATCTCCTAATTCTCCCCTCTTCTGAGTCTTCTGCTGCTGCAAAGCCTCCTCATAATACACTTTATTTCCCTGAGCTCTCTGGTGGTTAGGACGCTCCTCCAGCAGTTCATCTGTGAGTTTCAGAGCCTGACGGATATTTCCCTGCATATAGGTCGAAAAGGCTAAGTATTCCAGGATGTCTGCTCGTTCAACAGTCTTGTTGCCTTCCATTTCTTGTCTGTCAAGAGCTTCATTCATCCACAACACTGTATGATAATGATCGCCCCATTGTAACTCTGACGACCAAGCTCAAAGCAGTCGGCAGCTGTTGAAGATTTGGAATTATTCAGGTAAATACATATATTTCCTTGATCATAGGACATAAAGGCAGAAAAATCATGGCATTTCTTCAAAATATGCTAGCACTGTCTCTGTATTCTATTAACCCATCAGCGACGGGTAAAAATTTTGTCAAGTTTACGTATGCACCGGCTTGTTGGCGCGCACTGGCAGTTTCCCGTTTGCGCCCGGCTCGATCAGTAGTTTGCGAGCGACATATAGCACCTAAAAGCTTTTATTTTGCTAAAATTTATAAAAATATTAAAATTTTGAGGGTTTACCGTCACTTCAGGTGCCATTGCCTAAAATCTTTACCATATAAATGAAGCCGCTACTAGTGGAGAAAAACAACCTCCGTCCAACGAGCCAGTAGCGCGGGAATGGGCATGGCATGATGCACCTGGCGTTTGGTCCACAACAGCCATGGCATGTACGTACGTGACACCCGGTGCCAATGGGTTAACTGACAGGGTATTTCCATACAACATACCTGTGAGTTCTCTGTATGCTCGTTTCTTCCCTAGAATGTTACCACTTGCAATCTGTGATGTGTCCAACTTGTATGTATCTTGGAGACGCATAAGGGCTGTTGCTGCCCCACTGAGATCCTCTTCGTCTGGCCAGCGAAGCATTGACGCCATAGAGTTAAGTTGTTTAACATGGCTGAAAGAAATAGTAATGGATACTAAACATAAAAAATATACTAGAATTCACTACAAAATAACCATGGAAATGTACTGACTAATCATGCATTATAAATACTTCAATATTAGATTCTTATACTTTTTATAAACTTCATTACATATGAGAGCTTTAAAATACAAGGAAAGCCATTGGTTCTTAAGATTTAAATGTCATTAAACCTCATACATAAATCTTTACTAAAAACAATGTTCAAGAACACATATTTACCTTGGCCAGTACTATCATCTGTCATAATGTTCTGAAGGTCAAGCCAGTCCACAGTCAGCCTCTTGACCAACAGGTATGCATTAATTGGGTTTCCCAAAAATGCTTCAGGTGAACGAGATGCTTCATCATGGATTCGCTCCATCTCTACGACATCTCTGCACATAAAAAATAACAGAATCTTACAAAAACAATTTCAAAGGAAACAACATAACAAACCATTCTACTCTATTACATACTTGCACACACAAGACTTAAAACAAGAATAGCATCTTATGAAAGAAAGAAAACAATGGGGATGAAAAAGTATAATGATTAGTTACTATTTTGCTTCTACAAATATATCAACAAAACCTATAACCATTACATCTAAGAAATAAAATACTACTTTACTACTTTCCCATATAGAAGATAACCCCTGAACTATATAAATCTTCAAACCTTTAAATCAAATTATAGTCTAAAACACAATTAAAATTCAAACCCAGACAGACATGGAAAAAGAGTAAATGAAACCTTAGAACCACCAATATTTAAACAAAGTGTCATTACCTTTTCAACTTCATGAGTTTTTCTTCCTGTGCCACTATGTAATTTTCAACTGCTCGTATCATCTCCCCTTCCGTAACGAGAAGCCGACTCATGTCTGTCATGGAGGTAAAAACTTCCCCCATGCTTGGCACAGCAAAAAGTGTGAAAACGAGTATCCACAGCATCTTCATTGCTTCTGTAATGTTAAAAAAAGTATTGTTAATATAGCTGCTTTCTTAGGAAACACGTGTGAAAGTGAGAGTAAGTGTGACTAACAGTAAGAGTAAAAGAAGAGGGAGGGGGGGGGAGAATGAACAAAACGGAGAAAGAGATAGAAAAAGACAAAGAGGAGATAGGAGAAAGAGGAGTAAGAAGAGAGAGAGAGAGAGAGAGAGAGAGAGAGAGAGAGAGAGAGAGAGAGAGAGAGAGAGAGAGAGAGAGAGAGAGAGAGAGAGAGAGAGAGAGAGAGAGAGAGAGAGAGAAAGAGAGAAAGAGAGAAAGAGAGAAAGAGAGAGAGAGAGAGAGAGAGAAAGAGAGAGAGAGAGAGAGAGAGAGAGAGAGAGAGAGAGAGAGAGAGAGAGAGAGAGAGAGAAAGAAAGAAAGAAAGAAAGAAAGAAAGAAAGAAAGAAAGAAAGAGAGAGAGAAGAGAGAGAGAGAGAGAGAGAGAGAGAGAGAGAGAGAGAGAGAGAGAGAGAGAGAGAGAGAGAGAGAGAAAGAGAGAGAAAGAGAAAGAAAGAGAGAGAGAGAGAGAGAGAGAGAGAGAGAAAGAGAGAGAGAGAGAGAGAGAGAGAGAGAGAGAGAGAAAGAGAGAAAGAGAGAAAGAAAGAGAGAGAGAGAGAGAGAGAGAGAGAGAGAGAGAGAGAGAGAGAGAGAGAGAGAGAAGAGAGAGAGAGAGAGAGAGAGAGAGAGAGAGAGAGAGAGAGAGACAGAGAGAGAGACAGAGAGAGACAGAGAGAGAGACAGAGACAGAGACAGAGAGACAGAAGAGGGAGAGAGACAGAGAGAGGGAGAGAGACAGAGAGAGGGAGAGAGACAGAGAGAGGGAGAGAGAAAGAGAGAGGGAGAGAGAAAGAGAGAGGGAGAGAGACAGAGAGAGGGAGAGAGACAGAGAGAGGGAGAGACA